GGGTTAAGGGGACGCATTGATGATTCCATAACTAGTGACGTGAGTTTTACTTGCTAAAGCAAGTGCATTGTATTCTTTGCTCTGAGGCGTATTTTTCCCTTTTCATTTTTATTGTGATGTTCTCTACTGGCTAATGTGCATTCTTATCTTGGCAATCCTAAGCTCAGGGCTTTACCAGAAATGTCCCCGTGAAAAGGAACTTGAGGTCAATAGCAGAATTTGCTTACTCAAGCTGGCTCATCATCTATTCAGTGCCTTAATGAGGACAAGCAGGTTGAGTCCCTTTGTTACACATGAACTGTAGGTTTGCTGTTGCTCTCATTCATTTGCCTTGAAATTAGCTGCTCTTGGAGCTCTGCAGAGCGGGGCCTGCATCAATCATCAACCACACACTCACTCAACATCGGTTACCTATCATTCCTTTACCAGGTATTGAGAAGTGCAAAGAAATACAACTCATAGCTCTTGTCCTCAAGAAAATAACCTTCCAGCCGAGGAAACAAGATATAAACCTACCAAATATTACCATGTATGTTTCCATACAATATTGGTGGTCAGGCAATAAAATAATTTCAAGAAAGCTCAACATAAGGGCTCGTGTAGTCAGGGTCTTTGAAGAATGTGGAGGGTGAGCTGGGCGTGGATGGTGGTGGGTGTCAGGGAGTGGAGTATGGATCTCCCTTCTAGGCCTGCACATTTCTAGGGAGAGCCTGACAGAGGAGGAGGAGAGAGGAACCAGATCAGCAACAGTGATGGAGGAGAGAGAGCATTGAGGGATTTGGAAAGTATACTGCCAACGTGGTGGGAGAACTATTGAAAGCAGAGCATGCATGCCCCGGGTCCAGTCATCTCAGTCTGACTTCCAAGTCTCCCCCTAGGTCACAATTGTACCTGGGGTTCCAGAAATTTTGCATCTTCTAGGACAGGGGTGGGCAACCCTTGGCACGTGTGCCAAACATGGCACGCCAGTAACTTTTGCTGGCACATGAAACCCTCTCTTATAATCTTCCATTTACAATTTTTTTCTTAATATCGACTTTTTTATTTTTCAGATAAATTCAGTGTAGGTGCATCTTAGATAAATAATTTTACATAACATGTATACATTAAAAAATAAATGTATTTTTCATCATCATATACTGTGTTTTTGTCGCTCGAATGAATTTTATTATTTCTTCAAGGTTCTTCACATACGTACACCTTAAGAGATATCAAGTAGGCATAACATGTTCTCAAAAAATTAGGGTTGGCATGCAGAAGAATTTTGAGTCAGAGATTTTGCTGGTTTTGGCACACACTCACAAAAAGGTTGCCCACCCCTGTTCTAGGAAGTCTAGCATTTGGATTAATAGCAGAATTCCACTCTCCACATTAGCCATCTTCGTGTCCCATCTGACATCCCTATTGGAGTCACACACTGTCACTTCTTTGGCATTGAAGTGTGACAATACGCATTGAGTGTCACCAACTAAGGAAGTTTACCCACGCCTTGGGGTCCAGAGATTTACTGGGGCCTCATCTAAGAGGTCATCTCCGGTTCCAGCCCTCAGGAGGTCAACTGATACCGTGTAACTAAAAACCCAGAGCCTATGTCACAATGTCACTATCTGACTGGCCCAAGACCCCAGGCAAACGGAAGCCCTCCTCTCAGGAAGCCGAGGACAAAGGCCAGAACTCTTTTGGTGGTAAAGGTTAGATTCTTTACTACACAATACCAAAAATGTAATCAATTTCATGAGAGTTTTCCAGGGACACATATAATTATTAATGTGCAATTGCTTTCCTGAGAAAGTTATTTTAATCACACACCATGGGAACAACCATCAATGTGCTCAATAGCAAAACAAGTCCTTGACCGCAATGGCCTGAATTCTTTAGATCCAAACTTCTGTCCCTCTAGTCCCAGGAAAGCCCTCAGGATATAAACCACCTGCTTCTGCACGACACTGACAGGACCAAACTGCACAGGGTTGAATGGAAACAGACAATCTGAAAGAACTCCGGGACTGCGAGGAAGGAGGGATTTTACCATCGGGATCTTGCTCAGGTGGCTCAAGGTCTCCCCCAGAGAAGAGATTTTGGGCCAACAAAACCCCTTTCCCCGAGGTCCTTGATGTGAAAACAATTTCATAGCAATACTAAGATTTTATTCATTTTACTCATTCTCACATCCTCATGAGTGTACAGTGGAGTTCTCCTGAGGCTACGTGACATCTGGTGTCACAACAGATTAATGAAGAAGCAGGTAGGAGAATCCAGCTGTCTTAAGCCAGGCATTTCAGAGATTGGCAAAAATGGGAAACAAGGCCATTCTTCTCACTAAAATTTTTAAAAAATATATTCTTCCTAAAAATGTGTTATTTATATTAACATGCAATGAGTTCATTCCTTTAAAAACTAATTGATAAATATTTTTTTTGAATTCTGGATTTTAATTTCTAATATATTAAATGTTGATATACAAGTTTTTTGAGGCACTCAATACATTTTTAGGGCAAAATGGATCCTGAGACCAAAAGAATTTGAGAATTGCTGGTGTAAGGGGGAACAGCAATGACTTTGAATGGAGACATCCCTACCACTACTAGCCTCCTCTCCACACGTCTCCCTTCAAAGCGGGCGCGCGCGTGCACACACACACACACACACACACACACATCAATCAAACTCCCTTTTATCTCCTACTTAAGGGGGAAAAAAGTTCAATTTAATAAGTAAATATTTTTTATAAGTAAATATTAAGTGGCTTAACAAAGCAACTAAAAGAAAAAAAATTCTCCAACTAAATAATGAAGGTGGAAGAAAATAGAATATGTCACTCCAAAATATGCCTCTTTGAGATAAAATTATTTTGAGCTGAAGGCACAGTTCAAACACAGCTTAATAGACACAATAAACACAGGAAAAGCTCCCTTTACACTTTGCTTTTTCTGCATAAAATCAGGACATAAATTCTCCTTTACAGGAGATGATTCTAGACCAGGGGTGGGCAAACTTTTTGACTCGAGGGCCACAATGGGTTCTTAAACTGGACCGGAGGGCCGGAACAAAAGCATGGATGGAGTGTTTGTGTGAACTAATATAAATTCAAAGTAAACATCATTACATAAAAGGGTACGGTCTTTTTTTTTTTTTAGTTTTATTCATTTCAAACGGGCCGGATCCGGCCCTCGGGCCGTAGTTTGCCCACGGCTGTTCTAGACTCTTATCAGCCAAGAGATGGCACCAGAGGAATTTGCAAACAAACCTCACTTTATTAGTTCCCTCCTGCATATTTACCTTCCCATAGTTTGCTGCCACTGGAAACCTAAAACTGCCTTCCTTCACCTGCCACTTCTCTACAGACAGATTGTTCTTTGTTGAAAATGCTCTATATAAGCAGGAGTTCTAAACCACCTTTTCTAGTTACTCTTTCTCTTTCCCTGAGCCTCTCCCATGCTTGGATGAGATCTACAGGTTAACAAACTTCTGTGCATTTTTATTTTATTAATATGTCTTTGTTACAGGGATCCCAACTGAGAATCTAGAAGGGTAGAAAGAAAGATATTTTCCTCTCCTGTAAACATATGTAGTTTCAATATGGGAGCAAGGAAGGAAACACCCAAAATAACAACTAAATGCAAACGACTTTCAGATCATTTTGGTGTTATGTTATGTTTGCAAGCATACTCAAATTAGCTGTATTTGGACATTCAAAAATTTCAGTTTTCTATTAGCTTAGTTTTGAATATATATAATTATTTTCTTTTTCTTCTCCAATTTTATTAAGGTATATTTTATTATAAAAAACTGCACGTATTTAGAATGCATTATTTGATGGGTTTTGACATATATATATATATATATATATATATATATATATATACTTGCGAAACCATCAAAAGATAACAAATATATTTGTCATCCCCCAAAAAAAGTTTCCTCATGCCCTTTTGTAATTCACCCTCCACTTCCATTAATCTGCTTTCTGTTTGTAATAGTTTGCATTTTCTAGAGTTTTATATAAAAGTATGTACTCTTGCAAAATTATTTTGAAATTTATTTAATTTGCATTTGTTTTCAGTTTATTGCTGAGTAGAAGTCTATTGTATAGATTTACCAAAACTTGTTTATTTATTCACTTGTTGATGGACACTGGGTTGTTTTCAGGTTTTGACTATCCTATCTAATAAAAGAGTAATATGCAAATTAACCATCACTCCGACACAAAGATGGTGGCGCCCAGTCCTCTCAGCCCCTCTGGAGTCCTCCAGTCCCGGGGGGTGGCTGCTGAGAGCAGGACCTGCTTGCTGTCACCACGGCGACCTGGGACTGGCCAAGCAGGCCCCACAGAGAGCAGAGAACCACGGGGAGTGGGCCTAAGCTGTCAGTAGGACATCCCCTGAGGGCTCCCCGATTGGAGAAGGTGTAGGTCGGGCTGAGGGACCCCCCTCCCCGCCCCTCCCTCCTTCCGTGCACAAATTTTGGGCCTCTAGTTGGAAATAAACCTGTGTATATTTGTGTACAAGTCGGGGTGAATACATGTTTTTATTTCAATTCAATCACATGTGTGTTTAACTTCATAAGAAGTTGTCAAACTTCCAACCTCTTCTCCAACATGATCACACCATTTCACATTCCTACCAGTGGTGTGTGAGAGAGTCCCAATTATTCCACATCATTGCTAACACTCAGTATGGTACGTCCTTTAACTTTTAGCCAATGAAAAGTATGTAGTGATAACCTGTTACTTTTTCTCTACCTCCTGACAGCCGTATAATATCAGTTTTCCTAATTTTCTAAATATTATTCATCATTCGAGACCAAGCGCATATATGGTCCTTCAATGAAGTATTAAGCATTTTAAATAACTAAATGAGCCCTCTATTTGTGCTGATAAGGAAAGTCTCTAAGATATATTAAGTGAAAATAGTAATGTCTATATATTACAGTGCTTTCTATAGGCCAAGCACTGTCCTAAGCATTTAATAGAGATTAGCTGATTTAATCCTTCTACCAATCTTAGAGGCAGGTACTCATATTTTCCTCCATTTCAGGGGTCAGGAACCAGCATCAGTGATGTGTGTCCATGGTCATACCTGTAATAAATGACAGAGTCAAGACTGGAACACAGGCTCCAGAGCCTCAGCTGTTAAGAGTTCTACAATACTCTGGCTCCATGTGTCAAGGCACAGAGCAGCTACGAAAGGGGGAGGAAATATATATTCACATGTATTTAAATGTGTATAAAAGATCTTTGAAAAAATACACCAAAGCACAGTAACATTGATGGCCATTGTGGAGGGAAGTTGAAGGAAAGGGGAGAAAAGAAAATCTTTATTATTTTTTTTAATATATTTTATTGTTTTTTTACAGAGGGGAAGGGAGAGGGATAGAGAGTTAGAAACATCGATGAGAGAGAAAGATCCATCAGCTGCCTCCTGCACGCCCCCCACTGGGGATGCGCCTGCAACCAAGGTACAAGCCCTTGACTGGAATCGAACCTGGGACCCTTCAGTCCGCAGGCGGACACTCTATCCACTGAGCCAAACCGGTCTGGCAAGAAAATCTTTAGAATGTTGAACCTTGGGAATATATTATTTACTAAAAATAGCAAATAAAATATAAGTAATAAAAATACAACTCATGAGTCCAACTCCTTAGTCCAACTTTCTTCCAAAGTGCTTCCCAGATACTCAATTCCAGATCCACATTACCCAACAACTGATATTTGGTTGTTGCCTCATTTTTTATGTAAGTCATCTTTCTCTACCAGATTATAAACTCCTTGAATGAAATACCCGCTTCATACTTAAAAGTCTTGGAGTTCCCTGCAGTGCTTAGCATAGTACTGGACATTAGTAAATGCTTAGCAATAATCTGTTTATTAACTGATAAGCCTGTTCCCAAGAGACTGAAATCCTGGCCCTGAGCCCACTTTCTGTAGCAAGCTGTCTTTTGTGATGAAAACATGTGGGACTGGGTCAGCCTAGGCCAGTGATGGCAAACCTTTTGAGCTCGGCATGTCAGCATTTTGAAAAACCTTAACTTAACTCTGCTGCCATGTCACATATAGACATTTTTTGATATTTGCAACCATAGTAAAACAAAGACTTATATTTTTGATATTTAGTTTATATATTTAAATGCCACTTAACAAAGAAAAATCAACCAAAAAAATGAGTTCACCTGTCACCTCTGACACGCATGTCATAGGTTCACCATCACTGGCCTAGGGGGAACACCAGGCACAAGCTGATCAGCATAAAAAGAAGAACTTGATTTTTGAGAGAGAGAGAGAGAGAGAGAGAGAGAGAGAGAGAGAGAGAGAAAGAGAGAGCGAGCCCTAAACCTGGGCATGTGCCCTGAACGGAAACTGAACTGGTAACCTTTTGATGCATGGGACAACACTCAACCAACAAAGCCACACTGGCCAGGGCCCAAAAACCCTTCCCTGAAAAAAATTGAAATTGAAAAAAATTGAAGTAGACATCATAGGAAATAGAAATCATTTGCTGGATTCTCTGCAAGAGTTTTATCATTTGAAAGTTTTTACTTTTTAACATAATGGCCAGGGCTCTGTCACCTTTTCAAGGCCCCACCAGGCCTCTAACAACCTAATCCAGCTGGGAAATCGAAGGGAATGGGAAAACGCTCCATGATGATGTAATGATCTATTTGTGCCCTTTTTTTGGATAGTTCGGTGATGCTGAGCATTTGAAGGACTTTAGTTAGCCTCCCAAGGTGTTTTAACAGCGAAGCCGTAAGGGTGGGAGGTTAATGCCACATAATGGAAGAGCCAGACAGTCCTCCTTGCAGGTGAAGGTCATTGTGATAAAATAGGGGCTCTTCTGGTTTCAGCGCTGGCCTTTTGATTCCGTTTTGAGAATTGAACTTGGGCGATACATCTTTAAAATAGGTCCTACAATGGGTGAAACGTTATTTTTCAGTAATTATGGGTGGCATTACTAAAACAGGGCTTAAAGGCTCACCTAGAAAAAATAAATCAGGAAAGTCCCCTCATTGGAGGAGGCTTTCACCCACAAGTCACCAAGTGGCTCTGCCTGGGTCCCTCCAATCAATAGGAAACACAACTCACACAAACTGTTAGCAACACGATGGTGCCCTGCTCCCCAGGCGTCCTGCGTTCTGTAGGGCCAGCCATCCCTGGACTCCCCGGAATGACTACCTCAGAGTAAAATTTCAGATGATAAACTATTTGGACGTTTCTATTTCCCTTTAAAGACGCTCTCAGTCTCTCAGGTCCTTGCAGCTCTTAACTTTCTTTGCTACAACTGCACACAATGAGCAACGTTTCATGTTTAGATTTAGAAATTGTCAAGAGAGAAATTTCATTTTTTCAAATTTGCTTTGAAACTTTTTACAAAAGAGAGGCAGGGAATTGGGGCCACCGTGTCAAAGCCAGATGCCGTTCTGACTTTTTTTTTTTTTATTGTTTTGGAGAACAAAGGTTTGGCTTTTTGTTGGGAACGGCCGAGCTGATTTTGTGTTCAGATACACTGAAGAAATAACAACAGGTTTCTTGCATAGAGCACCGTTACTTCCAACACCAGCCTTTCTGTCTGATGTTTTATAATTTTCAAAAGATGTTTCAGAGTTATTGAGAAACACAAAGGTTTGCAATTTCGGTGGATATCTAAACAACGTGGCAGTAAGAGAGCCCTCGCGTTTTAAACTGAATGTCATGAAAAGGCAACTGAGCCTACTCTTCACTGGACAGTTTGTCTCAACCAGGTTACTGACGTCCTCGGTGGGGCAGCCGAGTCACGAACGGTATGTTTATCCTTTACCTTCGTTGAGCATCATAGAGAGGCAATGACGAAGTAATTTCACAGTAACTTGCTTGATCAATTCTTTTTCATTAAAGTCGATTCCCTTTTTAAAGGAAGTCCCACTTTCCTAACGTCAGAGTTTTCCTGCTCAAGAGAAGACAGATATGTGATTCTGTTTCCACATCTACGAAACCAGCCTGCGTGTCTCCTCTCTTGCACATTTGCCCGCCTCGGGCCCGCTGACCCGATTGTTGGACGTGGACAAAGACTGGTGGGGCGCCAGGCCACTTGAGGAGTCTCGGCCGAGCTCGTGGACAAACTCCTGGCAGGAAACAGGGCTGAGCTCTCCAGGCCCCAGAGCTGGAGGCCAGCAGCCTGGTCTCTTTAAAGATGCCTGGCTCTGGCCAGCGAAGGTGGAGTCTCTGCCATGGCTGCAATTCCCGCCCCTCCCTGTTGGGCTGGCTAAGGGAGCTATATCCAGTGACTTCCTAGGTGGCTATCATTTTTTTAAAATATATTTTTATTGATTTCAGAGAGGAAGGAAGAGGAAGAGAGAAAGAAACCTCAATGATGAGAGAGAATCATTGATTGGCTGCCTCCTGCACGCCCCCTACTGGGGATCAAGCCCACAACCTGGGCATGTGTCCTTGACCGGAATCGAACCTGGGACCCTTCAGTCTGCAGGCTGTCGCGCTATCCACTGAGCCAAGCCGGCTAGGCGGTGGCTATCATTTTTAAGACATTCTGGTTGATCTGATCATTTAAGGTTTCTATTTGGAGGTGTTTTATTATGTACACTAAAGGCCCGGTGCACAAATTCATGCATGGATGGGGTCCCTCGGGGTGGCCTGCAGGGATCGAGCCCCAGCTCGCGCCCCCAGGATCACAGCCCCAGCTCCTGCCCCTAGACTTGCAGCCCTGAAACCCCGCCTGGCACCCGCCATGGCCTGGTGCCGCCCCCTCACCTGCTCCACCATCCCGCCTGTGGGCCGATCGATTGGGGAACCCCCCTACCCCCAGCAGCCACTGTGGTGTGATTGGCTGGGCGATAGGCCCCCGCTCGCACCTGCCTTGCCCTGGCACTGCCCGCTCATCTTCTCCACCATCCCGTCACAGTCTCACTCTTGTCAGGGCCCATCAGGGCCAGCAGCACCTCCACTGTTGCCCGCTGCCGGCGCCACGTGGCCGACACCCGCCATTTTCCGTGCTGCCCCCTGGTGGTCAGCGCACATCATAGCGAGCGGTTGAACTCCCGGTCTCTAGGTCGATCTCCCTGTCCAATGACTGCCTGAGGGGATAATTTGCATATTAGGCTTTTATTATATAGGATAGTCTATTAAATAATTGTTCATGTATATAATTTATAAATGAGCCTACAGATGGGAGTCATGCTTAAAGATATTCTCTATGGGCATTCACAACTAAAAGGTTTGGACACCACTGTTCTATGAGTAAAAGTTCTGGAAAGGGTCTCTATGACCTTTTCCCAAAGGCAGTTTCAGAGTTTATATCCAAGACTCAAGAACCAACTTGCAACAGCTCCAAAATGGCCAATGATGGGACAATTGGAGCATTAATACAAGCCATGGATCAAAACATGTGAAATAAATTAAAATGTCATGACTTCATAACAATCTTTTAAAAATCAACTCATTGGTCACGGTTGGAGGATGTCAGCAAGCCAATTATTCTTAAATGACTCATGCATTGGACCTGCCTTTCCTATGTGAGCTGTACCCTCACTCTTAAGGAATAATGGAATTTGAATATCATTATTTGGCAAATCTCAAGTGAAATAATATCTAGGCTGTGACCATCAATAACTAATATCAGAGGAAGAGAGAGAAATGAACATGGTAAGTCTCTTGGTGGAAAATCCAACACCATCTTTATATAAAATGACCCTGGCAAGCCCTGGCCAGCATGACTCCACTGGAGCGCGTTCCATATACCAAAAGGTGGCCAGTTTGATTTCTGGTCAGGGCACATACCCTGGCTACCAGTGTGAGTGCATTAATGTTTTTCTCTCTTTCTTTCTAAAATAAAAAAACTAAAAAACACAAAGCACAAAAATATATCATCAGGTGAGGATTTAAAAAATACCTAAGGGGTCCTGCCAAAATATTAAACCCGAGTCAGATTGAGCAACTAAATCTAATATTTAGGAAATACGGAGGCACCAGGGGAATGCAATAAGCAAAACAGGACTGTGGGTTATGTGATGGGAAAGATAACCTGTTTTCTTAAACAAATATATTTCAAGGAACAAGAAAGAGAAGGGTTATTGCTAT